GAAATTTCATGAATAACTAATATCAACCAAAGAGGTATTATTTTCATGCTTATAGAAAAAGCCAATAATGAGGTCTTATACCTATGCCATAAAGTTATATAATTGAAAGAAGCAAGTAGATTAACCTAACAATTTAATTTAAGAAGTATTCCTACTACTAGTATGAAAGAAGCAATGCTTAATATAGTGAAGAAATATGATAGAACAAGATCAAAAATTTAAAGATTTTCTACAAAAAGTCAAACTCTATCTAAAGCTACACACTTTTAAATATCTTAATAGAGTTATTGAATTTGAATTTATAGTGCAATTTCATCTGTAAATACTATCATTTGATTTATACTTTTGATAGAAAATATTTACAATTTTTGTATGACCCAAATTTATTTTTGGAAGTATTAATAGTCATATTTCTAAAAAGTGATCAAGAAAGGATAGCAGAGACCAAAATTCTATCTTTACAATAAGTATCATATTTAACCACCACATGTGCTACCAAATTCCAAAACCTTACTTGCAATAAGGATAAGAATGATAAAGTCATTATCAATAAAAATTGATATGGATTAAAATATAATGGCAAGATTCTTATAAATCAATTTTGATAAAAATAAAAAATAATATCAAAATTTTATAATTGACAATATCAAAATTTATTAGAAGAATTTATTATTAAAGCCATTGCATGCATTAATTAATGTTTTAAGTGACATCAAGAACAAATATTTTATAAGATGTGAAGAAATAAATTAATAAGAATAAATTTTAAATTTTTAAATACTTATTTTTGAAAGCTTAAACTTATAAAAATTAATACAATATATTTTAAATTTCTCATTAATAAAAAAATGACTTAATATTGTTATTTATTATTATTTTTTTAATACTATAAAAAATATATGTATACTCCTCAACATTGTCCAAAAAAGCAATACAATCAAAAAATGAAGAGCATGATTGCCAAAGAGGGTAATGCATTGGAAAAAAAAATTCCACTTATAATAGAATCTGTGTGGCTAGAACCTTGTGCAACATCTACGAGGGTAAATTTCTCCCTCTATCTAAATTATAAGATAGCATCAATTAAAAGTTGCTTGTAATTGGTGGTGTGAAGTAGAAGTAGCAAGAATAAGAACAAAAGAAGAACAATACAAAATAAGTAAACAAATATAATCAAGCAATTATACACTATAAAACTAGTTACAATTTGTTTACTAGATTTTTATTTAGTAAAAAATAAAATTAAAAATTAAAAAATATATTTTTAGATAGATAGTTTTTTATCTTTTCAATGATATAAAAATATGTAAATTAAAATTTATTATGAGTAAGTTATGTCAAATTAAAGATAGAAGGTAAATAATAGAAAAATTTAAATAAATAATTTTTACTTCAAGAGTAACTTGCTTTAAGAGACCAAGAGTTTGAGCCTCAAGAAGGCTTGCAAGTAGTGTATATGGATTGTTAAGAGAGGTGACAAGGCCTTAATCTTATCTTCCTACCTATATCCAAGGTGCTACAACCCATATGGGACTTATGTACTTTTCTTTTGACAAGGATTAGACTAGCTGCTGAACTTTCTATTTTCTACTAAAAAAACTCTTTTTTTTGCATTTTTGACTTCACCATGGTGTTTAAAAACACCCAATTAGCCTAAGAACCTTGAATGGCCTATGAATCTTGCTTCATTTCTTCATAGTGGCTCCTAAGGTGATAAAACTCAATTTTACCAAGATCTTGAAATCTTTTATAAAAAATTCCTAAATAATTCTAAATAAATTATAAAAAATCATATAATATTTCTATATTAATAATATCTATTTAAGGATATATTTTCCTATTTTGGTGATTTTTTATAATAATAAAATCAATTTACATCTACTAAAAATCCTATTTTCTATATAATAAATTAAAAAGATATGAAGTTCATGCTTCTTCTAACTATTAATTAATCATTGATAGGATTATTATAAGTAATAAATATAGATATGAGGCAAATGAAGAAATTGATCTCAATAATTAATCCTTAATACTTAACAACAAGTAAATATAGTAAATTAACTAAGATAATTTCCTCTAAGACTTACGAAGACTCCATTTTTATGACTTTTCTTTCAATAAGACTTTTGTAACTTACAAATGCTTCTAAATTCTAATAAATAAGTAAATAATTAAAAATAATCTATAATCTTAATATTTATATAATAAAATGACTTAAAATTATATTTTTAATTAATCCACTAATTAAGATGCATTGATAGAGATCACAACATCTAGTGAAGGTTATATTCTTTCTTACGATCTTTTACTTTGTTTTATAATAGATATTTATTTAAAACTAAAAAATTACAAACTCTTTGTATTATTAGATTCAAAAACCTTAGCTTCTTATATAGGTGAAGACTATATATATATATATATATATATATATATAGTTAAAAAAACTAAGCCTATATATATAAAAATCATATATCATTGTTTATTGTCCATAAAAGTTTTTTTTTTTTTTTTTATAAATATAAGAAGTAATAATTATAATAATTTAAGAATATTTAATATTATTAGATATTTCTTTAATGTACTTCTTTTAGGTTAATTGTAGCTAGAAAAGTATAATTCTTAAATATATTGGATTTTTTGAAATCTTAATTTTCCCAATATTATAACCTAAACTTGTATTATTTAAATAAAAAGTTACAAGTCTAGTTTAATCAAACCTTTATTAGTAAGTATAGAAGCTTTCATGCATGTTGCAAAAGAAAGATTACCTTTTGTTAAATATGCCATACCCATTTCTAATAGTAAAAAGTTTTGAAACAAAATTCTAAGTTTGTATAAAGTTTATTAAGTAGTTTTTAAGAAGAAAAATATAGATATTTTTTTAGTACATCATCCTTATGATTGCTCAATTGATCTTCAATAAAGAACTCAATTACCATTTGATCCAAAATATAGCTTATTATAAAATAAGTTGGATGCACTTAAAGAATATATTAATAAAAACTTTGTCAAGAACTTCAAATGCTATTCTAAATCTCTAGAAAAAACTTATATTTTTTTTTGTGAAGAAAAAATGTATATTATGGATGGGCATAAATTATTAAGAGCTCAAAAAAATTACCATCAAGAATAAGTACTAATGATGTTTAATATCAAAACTTCTTAATTAAATGAATCAAGGTAAGATCCATATAAAAAAAAATATATGAAAAGCATATAATTTAGTATGCATAAAAATAAAAAATAAAAGACTATGTTTTAAATTAAATATGGATATTTTGAATATAATATCATGCCTTTTGAACTTATAAATGTAATATCAGATTTTTAACATGTTATGAATGATGTTTTTAAAGAATTGTTATATATTTTTGTTGTTTATATCTGAACAACATTTTAATCTGCTCTAAAAATATAAAAAAGCTTGAATTTCATATTTTTTATGTGTTACAAAAGCTTAAAGATATAGAACTATACTCTAAGATGGAATTGTGTGTATTCTACATAATTTAAGTTGACTTCTTAGCATACATCATTTCAAATCATGGCTTCATGAAAGATATTAAGAAAGTTCAAACCATCACAAATTAAAAGTTTTTGAAACAATAAGAGATGTCAAATATTTTTTTGAAGATTTGTCAATTATCTTAGATTTTTATCAATTGTTTTTGTTCAAGTTGCACTTTATTTATATTTTTGATTTGTACAAAAAAAACCATAAAAAATAAAGAAGTTATGGCAATATTTGAAGCTTTAAAGACAACTTTTATTTTTGTATCAAATTCATGTTGCATCAACCTTTTTAAGGTAATTTTTATTGAAATATATGCATCAAACTTTACTTTAAGTAAAATATCATTACAAATGGGAATAAATGATAAACTTCACCTACTAGCATTTCATTTAAGAAAAATTTTAGTAGCCAAAATCAATTATAAGATTCCCAACAAAGAACATTTTGTAATTATAGATTTATTTCAAGAATGGATTTGTGATCTAGATCTAGTCTGGTGATTGTTTTATACAAATCACAAAAATCTCAAATATCTTATGTCATCACATATTTTAAATCATTGCCAAGTTTGATTGAATATTTGAATTCAAGATCACTTATGAACCATAATCCAACAAATTTTATTAAATGTCATTTGTAGAAATTTTATTTGCAGTAGATGAAAAAAATATAACTTTTAATCAACAACAAATAATTCTTTAAAAGCTAAAGTAATCTTATATTTGTGCTATAAAATCAACATTGAGCATTGATTAAATTTTTTTAAAGTAAGTTCAATCAAATATATCTTTAAATCCTATAATTCATGATATTAAAAATAATTCTAAATCTTATGATATTTCTAAATTTAAATTTAAAAATAATCTATTCTATTTTAAATGACACTTACATATTTGAGAAAGTGAAGTACGACTATCTTCTCTTCAAATTCCACATGATTTCCTAGAAATAAGACATTTAAGACTCAACAGGATTTTAGAGCTATTACCTAAAGATTTTTGTTCAAATATAGAAGGCAATTAAAATCTTTGTACAATCATGAAGAGCCTTATGGATTTTTTTATTTAAAATTTATACCAAAATAATCATGGTTTTTTTTTCTATAGATTTTATCATAGATTTTTTAGTCTCAAGTTCATATGACTTTATATTTATGATAGAATATTGTTCCAAGATAACACATTTTTTATCATATACGAAAATTGCCACACAAGTGAAGAAATATCTAAAATTTTTGTTAACAATCATTACTATAAACTACAAATCAATATCATATTGACAGTAGGGACTCAATTTGTATCAAAGTTTTGGAGAATCATTTTCAAAATATTAAAAGTGGACATAAAACTATATGTAGCTTTCTATCCTCAAATAAACAAATAAAATGATTGAATCAAGTAATATAGCAATATATAAAACAAATCATCAATTATCACAAAAATAATTGGACAACTCATTTTCCAACATCCATACCAACATCAAATCGGAGAACTGCCTGAGGAATGTGGATGGTTCAGTCAAAATATGCGACTTTGGTTGCAGCCGGACATTTGAGGTATGCTTGGCGATGCTTCGTGATGCTCTGTTTTTGGGGTGGAGTCAGTATGTTAGGAGCTAGTAGGCGTCGTTTGTCATTGACTTTGCAGGAGTAGATGTAGGGTGGTAACGCCCTGCCGATTATTTGTTTTCCGAACAGGGAGATAATGACGAACTGTGGCGATCCCCTGGAACTCCAGTCTTCACAGCCCCCGAATGTTGCTCAGGTATGTAAGTCGTCGCTCTTCTGAAGCAAGTGTTTGTTGTTGCGATGGCCACCCAGCCCCGAGCATGAAGTCATCCTGGAGAGCCCTTGACTGGTTTGCTCCAGAATTATGGTAATGGATGGCGATTGAACTGGTCCCAACCTTGACAGGGCGGTGCAGCACTGATGGTAGGGGCGTGGGCATGTTACAGGCTTGACAGGGAGTTATTACCGTGGGCGGCAAGCAGACGTGTGGGCTCTGGGGTGCACTCTGTACTGCATGGTGATGGGGCGCTACCCGTTCATGGGCGACACACTCCCTTCCATCTATGAGAAGGTAGACGGAGTCGTGCATCGCCACTGCGTTGTGCACATGTTGCCAGCATATCGGTTTCGCTGGGATGAATGAGCTCCACATGGCGAGCATTTTCCCGGGGTAATCCAGGCGCTAACAGTACCACCGCCTCGTGCAGATTGTGAACCAGCCTTTGTTGGTCCCGGAAGCCACAAACCCGGAGCTGGCGGATTTGCTGAGAGGGCTTCTGTGCAAAGGTGAGATGGGGTTTGGAGGATTGTGGAACGGACGGGACCGGATCTCGGTGTGGAAAGGTATTCGGGATTGCAGGAATGCGCGATGTAGGATTTGAACATGGGGACATGCATTTGAGATGTGGTGGGTTTGAGTGGGTGCAGATGCAAGGAAACGTTTTTCATTGGCGGTAGCAGCCGCTCATCCATGGTCGACGCGCGGGTACGCGCAAGTGCAAGCAAGCTGTAACCCGACAGTGTACGAGGTGCAGCATCCATTTCCGGCAGGCGGGGCTGCATTGGCAGTGGGCGGGAACGGAAGCGTGGAGCTGGGAAGCGTAGTTTGATGGGGGAACCAGTTGTCATGCTGCACGGGGTGTAGAGGAGGGAACAAAGCGAGAGGATCCCGAGCATCAGGGTGCGCGTCTCAACTCCGTGGGGCATTCGGTTCGGAAGAGTACCAGTTTGAGATTCTCACGCCCAGTGCGCACTTTGTGTGGGATAGGATTGTAGTGCTTTGCAGAGTGCAGTTGCATAACAGGTGGATCGGTTTAGCCACCCTCTCATTGGCCCGACTTGTACAGAACACTTGGTTGGCAATTTGATAGTGCTGAAATTGCAAGCTTTATTGAAATCGTATGCAATTTTGTAAGCAGCATCAGGATTTGGCGTTGGCTCAAGTTTTGTCTTGGTGTTGGAAATGTCAGATTCCACAACCTAATGGTAGATCGTATCACATCGCGAAAAAGGGAGGTTACAACCAGTGCAGCCGTTGGTTTAAATGCCTCATGTTTGTCCAAAATATCATATGCAAATCCAAAACAAAAGATACATGCGAATACAACCACTGTCATTCCCCGAATCTTCCAAAGACGCAATGCTGGATTTAGAAGTAAGCGATTCGATTTGACGGCTTGAGTAAGTGAATTAGCTTAATTCTCATGCCAAAACCAATACGAGAAACTAAGTTCCTAATTCTGTCGCTAAAGCGACACATACAGCAATGCAGATCATAATTAGGAAGTAACTACTGAAGATAGTTTTGTATTTCACGAACCATGATCGACAGTGATGACATGAATGTGAAAAACACAAAATTGGTCAAAGCTTTATGTTAGTGGATTCCACAATCACAATCAATTTGCCTTCCAATAGCGTGACCTACAGTGGTTACATAAGGTCTTTCGCTCGCCGAGCCCCTCCGATATCCCTTTAGCGGTACTGCACAACGTGACACGCGAAAGCGGTGTTAAAAACGAAATAAACGCTAAAGCGAGCAACTAACTGCGTCCACAGCAACCGATTCGAAAATCAGGAAAAATGGTTGGGCACGTCTGGACAGTACCTTCACAAATCCGATATCCTTGGAGTAGATGCGGAAGCATTGACGACAGGTGTTGATGCCGTACTTGCGAATCATTCCGCAGGAGTTCCCACAGACCCGGCTGATCAAAGAAATCAAAAGTATTTCAGTAAGCAAAGTTCAGAGGTAACCTAGACATTGAATAGTGCCTCTAGTAAATAAGCGTGCTATATGTCCAGCCCACGTAAATGATCTGTGCCGGAGCGAAACTCGTTTGAAAAATGCTCAATAGACTATCTGCAAGGAATCATTATTTAGAGATTCACCCCACTCGGATTCCACACATAACATCGACATGTAAAGTATGATATTGTGGAGTCCTCTTTAAAGAACCCCTAAAAGTGAGGATTTGCATGTATTCCAACAAGATTTCAAGTGGCCAAGTCTTGTTTTCATAATAAGAAAACCCTAAACTCAATCTGCGGAGCGCAGAGTTGAGTTCCAAGTAAATCGTCCGCTACAGCGAGAGAAAACAAACCCTGTTCCATACCCTAAAATCCACCGCATTTATCTTACGGCAAACTCAAACACATTCGTCTTTGTCGGCCTTTGAAAACCACAAAAATCCCAACCCTAGTTGCCATATGTGGGAGAGAAAGAGAAGGAAATACCAGGTGCGGGAGCCGGGCCCGTAGCCCTTAGGGTGAGAGTTCCACACCGCTTCGTGACCCATGGTGGGATGGCGATAGGGGAGCGAAGGGCGACGCGAGAGCAACAGCTCACGAGAGGGTTGAAGGCGAAAGGAGTCTGCCAAAACCTTGGTTCCGCTTTAAAAGAGACCGAAATCAGCGAAAGGGTTGTTTATTAGGGTTAGGGCATGGGATACACGGTCAAGGTATATATTGATCCCAGGTATCTCCCAGGCATAAGTGTCATGGGTATCGGGTCCAAAGGGGCTCCAGTCTGCCGCGAGGAAGGCTGTTTTGCTGTGGAATCAGGCGACTCAAAATTCCTCCAGATTCCTGTCTGCCTTCGGCGCTTCATATTTTTCTTAAATCGAAATTCCCAAGGTTTAGTAGTAGTGGGCAAGGGCAAAACCCGTTACTGCATATTTATTTTGAATTTTCCAAACGACGTGTAAAAGATGGATATTATGGTGCATGTAGAAGTGAAATCTTTATGGCATATGAAGTTTTGGTTTTAAATCCATATATTAGTGGAGATTTTATTATTATTATTATTTTTAGATATTTGTAATTTTTTCCATTTTATTATTTTAACGGATAATGTCTTCACTCAAGTGCATTATTCTTGTGTATGTGGATTATTAAGCTAAATAGAAACAATAGAGAATGTTGAACTTTCATAGATTTTTGAAGAAGGTGTATGTCTATCATAAATATTCATGCAATACACATCTTGGCAAAAATTCAATTATAGTTACATCAAAATTAAATGATTAATTTTTTTATTTTTTAAAATAAAAGATATCATTATTTAGTTATTTTAAATATATTTATCTTTCTTTATTTTTTGATTTTTCTATAATTAAACACATGCTAATATTAAAAAAATTAAAAAATTAGAAGCCTTTTGTTCCGAACATTTATTTTTACTCCTTTAGTCACTTAGATAATATGAATATGTAGAAGTAGGTAAAAGCAAATTAATTTGATAATATCTTATAGAGAAGCTTTTTAGAAGCTTTATAGATTTGGTTTTACCTTTATATGTGTTAGTATGTGATTGGTAGATTAGAAACTTGGCCAACAAGTTAGCTACATGTTGCACGTTGTCGTATTACATGTGGTCTTATTCAGAAATGCACCAAGCATCCAGTTGTAGAAGGTAGGATTGTATTTTACAAGTATCTAAGAATCCTAATATGTTTCACTTTTATAAGAAGAATGTAATTTTAATTTTAATTCAAGAGTGCTTAAATCCAATACAAAGTGCTCAAACACACTCTTCTTAATAATCTCAACCATATATAAACTACAATTGCCTTATTACTTTCATAATTAGGTAATTTTGATTTTACTTTATAAGCCCTAATTCTAATTAGTAAGCTTCAGCAAGCTATAATTCTTAATTTAATCATCTACTTACAGCAAAATTTTGCATACAAATGTTATCATAAGTCTTCTATGTTTCCAAAAGAATTCATCCCAATCAAACGTACAAATTGTGAGAAAATTCTCAAAAACCACATTGATGTTACTTGGCCGCCAACTTGAAAATTGATACAAATGTTCGAGTGGTGATTTTTCCTTCTTTTATTCTTAACTTCAACTCGAAATTGGTGTATAGCTTGATCTTCAAGTCTTCTTAGACCAAGCCAAATTTCACTTTGATCTGATTAGTAGATCTTCAAATTTCATAGAAATTTCACCTAATTTCAAACTACCAACTTCTAATACTTTATTGTATCAAAACCTAGATATCTCTCAACTACATTGTTAGATTGTGTCAAAATTTTACATATACTTAACACACCCAATTAACCAAGCACTATCAAATTTTGAATCATAGATGTGACAACAATTTCATGAACTAACTAAGAGTGCTAGCTTTAATTGTATTATATAAATCCCAAATCACTTATACAAATCCTAACTTTGAACACCAATTGCAAAGTCAAACCAACTCCTACAAAAGCAAGCCTTATGTTTCTAGAAGAAGCTTTAAGTTAGCTAACTAATTCTAATTGCTAATCTTCAAATGTCCTCCTATTTTGTCCTAAGCAGTCATTTTAGTGGTTAGAGGTCTAATTTCGACCCTTTCTCTCAAATGGTTGATCCTCGGGCATCAATCTAACTTATCCTAGGGAATTTTTAGCCCAACTCAATTTTCAACTTAATCCTAGTATCAACCATGCTAATTATTTATCTCTTCTAACTTGATTCTATTAATTTTTGGTCTTTCTAAAGCAATAAAAGAGTTTCTACAACCTAAAAGGTAAAATTACTAACCAACCTTTAATCTACTAACTATTAAGACAAGAAAATAAACTAAAAGGCTTTTATAAAAGCCATATTTAAATATCTTGAATTATTATTAAACCAAGATAATTAGATATTAATTAAAATTTTATTTTTAATTATATTTTCACTATATAGTTGTATTACAATACAACATTAAGTTGATAGCTTGTGGTACAAGTTCACTATGTGGTGAACATATATGAAACTTACTTTGGAAATTAAGACACATTTTTTGCAAATTGAACACATATCAAAGGTCCTATAGACTGTTGCTATATAGTTCTTTTATAAATAATATAAATAGATGTAAGAGTGGTACCATCTTCCTTCCTATCAACTCCATTCTTGCTTTTAGTTTAGTTTTAAGGGTCTTTAGTTTTGTTGTCTTTTGATAATAGCCATTCTAGTTTCTTTTGAATATACATTTTTTTTTTCTTTTCATTTTATAATCTTTCTTTGAAGTAAGTTTTACTTCTTTATTTATCTTTATTGAATTTTCACCCTTGAATTAATAAGAGTATACTTACGATATGAAAGTCTTATCTTTTTTTAATTAAGAATAGATTACCTCTTTCTTTTGATAAAGCATAAGTATATTAAAAATTAAAAATAATCCACTTTTTAATTGATATTATTTTTTAAATTTTCTTTTGATTATGCCAAAGATAAGAATTCAAAGAAAATATATAAATAGATAAGAAATAAATAAAAAAAAGATGAAAAATTAGAAATGAGAAAGTAAATATATTTAATAAGAAATTGGAATGGATATTAGCAAAGGCTAGAAAATTAGAGACTCTTAAAACTAGACTAGATGTAAGAAAAGAGTTGATAAGAGCAAAGATCACTTCTATCTTGCTTCTATATATACCATCTATTTAAGAACTACATTATAATGTTCTATAAGACCTCCAACATGTATCTAATTTGTGAAACACATGTCTTAACTTGCAAGACAATTTTTCTTTATGTGCGCCACATTGTTAATTTATACTACAAGCTATATATAAGATATCATATTATAACACAATTATATGGTGAAAATACAAACAAAATTGATTTCTAATTAATATTCAACTATTGTCAAGGATAAAAATTTGATGAAAGCAAATAATCAAGTAAGGCTCTTTCAAAGAAATATGACAAAATAGAAATAGAGAAGCATCTATATTAAAAAAGAAATTAAAATGGCTATTTTCAAAAGATAAAGAAAGTAGAGATTCTTGAAATCAGACTAGAAGCAAGAAAAGAATTGATAAGAGTAAAAAAGACTTCACTCTTGCCTTTATATATACTATCTACTTAGGATCTATATGGCGACATTCTATAAGATCTCCAAAAACATGTTGACTTTGCATGACATGTATCTTAACTTGCAAGATAAGTTTTCTATATAGGTACCACATAATTAACTTATTTTGCAAGCTACCAATACATGTGACACACGGTTAGCTTGTTGACCAAGTTTCTAATCTATCAATCAACTATAAATATATATAAAGTCAAAACAACATCTAAAAAACTTATAAGAAGCTTTTCTAGAAGATAATATAAAATTAATCTATTTTTATCTACTTCTATTTATTCATATTATCTAGACAATAATTTTAATAGATATATATCCATGACATTACCTTTCCTTCTAGCAACAAGTTCCAAGAAGAGTAGTGATCACATGTTGAGGAAGTCTAATACGTAGAAAATTGTATTTGCTACATACTCTGATCTTTATTCCTTTTGAAAGTAATAAATAAGACTTCTCAGCCATTGATAATGTCCTATTCTAGCGTAGAAAGACCACCCTAATATTTAATCATTATTGAAACTTTTGTAATTTTCTTCAAACAAAAAATTTGTAACACTATCAAGAATCATTCTTACCTCCAATAAAATCACCAAACATTGAGAATTTTTTCTCAGTTCATAATACCAAATGCATTGTATCTTACCATCTATTCAAAGAAAAACATGTCGTTCTTAAAAGTCTTTATTTCTATTATGTCATCTTCAAGGTTGTGATAATCATAATGTCTCCTATAATAAGTCAACAAATGATGGCTTTTGAATTAAACCTATTGGCTATTGATTTCCCATTTCCTTAATACCACAATAATATAGAAACTACAAACAAGGATAAAAGATAGAATATAATATTTTTTTTAAATTGTATTTCTTTATAGCAAAGATTTTCTATCTTTCATCTTGATTTTAATAGATGTTGTTGATGAAAAGCTTTGATCTTCTCTGCTATATTTGTAAGATTTTTTGTTGGCTCTTATGTGTGTTTGTTAAAATTTTATCCACAACAATGAATAAGATATTTTAAATCTATGTCGGCACTACTTTGAATCTAAGACTTTTTTCACCTTGAATTCTTTATTATTATTGACTTCTATAAGAGGCAATAGTATTTGTTTTTTTTTTTTTTTTGAGATATTCACTATCTTATATGGCTTTAAAAGAGATACATGAAATATGAGATGGATTTTCATAGTCCCTAATAGATGTAATCAATAAGTCATTGGATTGATTTATTCACAAATAAGAAATGCTTTAAATCTATAATAATCCAACTTGTCTCAAGGACAAATAGTTTTAATACTACAATGAAGTAACCATACTTTATCAACAATGTAGAAATGAAGTTGTTCCTTACAGTGAACATCGACATTGCTCTTTTGTTGTTTTTGAGCCTCTTTTAGTTGCACCTTCATTATTGTATGAAATTCAAATAAATTATTTTTGAAATCTTTTGTAAGAAGATTAAAACTTTTGAAAAGTCAAAAGTATCAAGTCATGGATAATATCTATAATTACTAAAAAAAGATATTTGTTGTATAAAAAAATATA